GTCATTCAGCAAGCAAAACTAACTGTCTCTCCATCTCTAGGATTCCTTGGGTTACAGCGTCCCACAGTCTTTTCACCCCCCACCATTTTTCACAGTGTGGAAAGCACTTTTGATGGTTTGCAAGACCGTGTGTCCACAGTTAAGGCAGCTGGAGACCATGGCCCAAAAAAGGCTAATGCAACGGATAGAAAATCCAATTTTCAAGGTTTCTTGACACCACAGAGTCTGTTTGAACATAAAGTAAAATGAGTCACTATGCAGCTTGTATACTAAAAAAAACCCAACAAAACAACAACAACAACAAAACAAAACCTGATTTCTGCCAGCTGTTTCTTACTATCCCTTTAACTTTTCATTTATTCATTTTTTGTTAAAGTTTATGGCATAGAACAAAGAAAAATTAATCATCTACTTAAAAAGAGTGAGGTAAAGTTTATGATTTAAAATCCTTCAAGATTTTGTTAAATCAGGGGTAACAGTACTTGATCTGTCCAATGCCGGATTGTTGTTGTTGTGTACTGTTGCGTCGGAACCAACTGATAGCTGACTCTCCAGGCAGCTTTTCAGAGACCATTAATCACACAGGAGATAAATCTTGACTTACCCTTCTGACAAAAAGAATTTTAAATATTCACTGCTAACCCTGTAACGTTAGGTCTTTTTTGAGGGATTTTTTGAAAGTAGGTGCAAATACTGTTCACCGATAGTCAGTCTGTGAGTGGCATCTGGCTCAGAGACATCTTGGCCAAAGCAAGAAAATAACTGTCCCTTGTAAATAAGACATTTGCGTTCACCTTAGCCCATTAGTAATTTTTGATAATGTAAGAGGAGACCAGAAAAGTTTTAAGAATTGCCATCCAAATGAAATATTTATTGTGATTATTTATAGTGCTGTTGCAGGACCAATGTAATTATTATATAATATTTAGGTATATGTTTGTTTTCATTATTATAATGCTGTTGCAGTGCCAGTGTAATTATTATTATTATTTACATATATGTATCTTCTAACTCTTGCTTGGAATATTTCTAAATTGGCTAATAGATATTAGTCAACCCGTAGTTTTTTTATTTGTTAGGCTGTTTCTCTTACTCACTTTACAGTTTTAATCAAAATGAAATAATCTTATCATAACTTGAATTTGCTGTTTTGCAACTAACAGCAGTGAATTGAGATGTCTGAATGTTGGGATTTCTTATTCAGATCTGCTTGGAAGGTGATCCAGCTCAGAGGATGTGTTGCTCAAGTTTCCATGTGAGATAGCCGTACCGACGTTAGGCCAGCAGCACAGCGTGCTGCGGACGACAGCACCCAAGCTCCCCTCTGACTCTTGAACACTCAGTGCATTATTAAAAAAGCAACTTGAGCAGCACTGCAATCCCAGAGGTGAGCAGTTCAAATCCACCAGATGCTCTGGGGGAGAAGGAAGGACAATCTCCTGTACCAGTCAGATCTTACTTGACGGTACATACACAAATAATAATGAAATTTTTAAAAAGCAACTTGAAATCGGGGTCACACATAAAACAACTGCAGTGTGGTCCTGAAGGGCAGTTGTCTTAAACCATTGTTTATTCCACACGCTAAGCAAGTTGTAGTAACATTTTTTAAATGGTCCACTTGAAATTAGTAGCTGAGGAAATACCGTTATGCGATATTCACCCTCTTGGAGCTCCCTTGATCCTTACTGAGATCAGGTGACCGATGACCACAGTCCTGAAGAAGATGAGGGGCCTAATTTATGAATACTTGGGGGAACAGGATCTTTCAGACAGGGCACAGCAAGTGCAGAGACCCCAGGGGAGGACCTTCTCCAAAGTGTGGCTCACATATTTTTTGTTGAGTACTGTCAAGTTGGATCCAACCTATAGCTGACCCTCCAGCAAATTTCAGAGGCAGTAAATTGCATAGGAGATTGCCAGTCTTCCTCAGAGCAGCTGGAAGACTCGAATTGCATACCTTTCCTTCCTGCCAAATCACCATAATTCCCTCTAGTAATGAATATAGTTCTCTTTTATTATGCAGATAATTTAAGATCTTTGTAAATGTAATTACAGAATGGGGGAATCACCCATAATTCTCGGGCACTAGCAATAGCATCTTGGTCTGTATCCTTTCTAGTTTCATATGCTTCTTAGAAGGTGACTATCTGCAGATGAATACAAGCAGTCCCTGAGTTAGGCATGTCCTACTTCTGTGCAACCCACAGTTGTAAACAGCCCTGTGCAGCCTGTTATATTAAAATATTGAAATATATGCAGTGGTTCATACTAACAAATGAGCATTAGTTTGTGACATGCATCCAAACATTATTACTGTATTATTAAAGATGTTCCAGTGTTCTGGAAGTATTAACTTTTTTATCCATAGCAAGGTACAGTATTGCTGTATACTAAGTAGATACAGAATGCACCTAACTGGCAGATTGACGCTCAAATATGACGGAGAGCCTTTCTCATCCAGGGGTTACTTGGATCTCAGATATTTATGGGCTTCCTGTCGAAATTGTTCTGTATTTTTTGCTATTCTTTTTGGTGCAAATTAGTAAGTTATCAAGAGTTCTGGTGACGCTGGTTAAAATATCCAAATGCACACTCCACAGGAGAATGGTGAGGCTGTCTGCTTTCATAAAGGGTCTTCAGAGGGTGGTTCTTCTCTGTCCAGTAGGCTGTGAGTCAGAAGTGACTGCATATTCATAGCATCATGTTTAATAAATTACTGGTAGTTGCCGCCCTCAGGGTTGCACTAGAGTTTATTTCCCATAGGCAGATCAGTGAGGCTTATTAAAGACTGAGATTTACCTTCTGCTCTAGAAGCCATGAGGTGCCCTTTTTTGCTCCTTGTGTCAGAAACAACCCTCAGTTTTGTGTTTGTTAGAGAAACCATGATCCAGTGTTGCTAAATTATCCAGTTGGCTGTTCTGTGCTTGAGATACCAGTGTTTTCCAAACAAGTCATTCAAGTGTGCTTTTAGGGGTTTATTGTTTGAAGTACCATCTGTGCTGTTACTTAAGTAATGTTTTTCTTCAGTCAATTGATTTTGTCACTTAAATTTATTATTTTGCTGTTGTTGTAAATGGAAAGTTAGTAGAACTTGCCATAAAGAAATTACTCTTAAAATAAGTATATCACTGTAAAAGAATATATATTCACCCGCATACCTCTTAAATCATCTAGCATCCAACTGTCAGCTCCATCCTTCTAGCTGTTGAGAAAAGCCGGGGCCATAGCTGACTGACTCCTTTTTCTCTCTCACTGTCAGCCAAGCTGACAGCAAACCTTGTCAGCTCAGACTTTCAAACTTTCTCTCTAGACTTGTGGCACTTTGCAGTATCTTCGCCGCTGTTATCCTGACCCAAGATAGACTTCTCTTTTGCCTGGATTATTACAGTAGTCTCGTAACTGCTTCCCCCTTGCTCCCTATTCTTCACCCAGCAGATCCTGTTAATAATAAAAAAAGGCAACATGTCACTCCCCTCTTGAAAACTCCGTGGCTTCCTTGTCACTCGGTGACAGCCAGAGTCCTCCAGCTCCCTTCCCATTTCACTCATGTGGTTTTTGTTACACTGGTACCTTTGCTGTTGTTTGACACTCCAGCTAAGGTCCTGCCTTTGCATTTGCTGTTCCCTCTGCCTGGAAAACCTTCCCCCAGAGATGTCTTGGGCCCAATTGTGGTCCCACCTCACTTTTGAAGCCTTTAGTCATGACACTGGATTTCAGTGAGGCTTTCTTTCATCACCTTATTTTAAATAATTTATTCCTCCTCTCCATTCCCCTGTCCCACCCTGCTCCAGAACGCCCTGTTCTGTCATAAGATGTACGTATTTATTTTGTAAATTATATGCCACCTGTTTAGAGGTGGAAGGAAGCTCCATGAGGTCAGAGATTGTTTTGCTCACTGCTTGCTCCCCAGTGCTTAGCAGAGTGCTCACCATACTAGTAGGCACTTGGATTTGTTCTGATTGGATTAAGGGTGGCATGTGTCTCACATTGAACATACTGAGAAACGCTGGAAACTTCTGTAATCTTGAGGCCCTCCGGTGGGACTTCTTCACAGTCAGTGGTCTGTTGATTGCATTTAAGAATATGACCAGGAGGGCTCAGCATTTAAGGCAGAAGGAGCCCAGAATTTGATTCCTGAGTTTCTCTTTTATTCCCCCCAGAGGAAACAGTGGGGATGCCAGCGGACGGGAGAAGCAAGAGAGACAGGCTAGGTGAGGAGGGCCAGCCTGGGAGAGGTGCTGTGGCCCAGAAACAGGAAGGCACCTTCCTCACCTTCCCACGGCCTTGGGCCTGGCTCACCCCCACCTCACCCAGTTCCTAGACTCTTCTTGGGAACATAACCTGTGTGCGCGCGTGCGTGCTTTCACGAGCCACCGCCACGCACTGTGATGTCTGGAAACAAATCAGCCGTCATCTTTTTGAGTTTTTTTCACAAGAGAAAAATGGTGGCTTATAAATGGAAATGCAAACTGTGTTAAGAATATATCCTTGAAGTAAATGTTATCCTCTGTAAGAACCTTCAGCTGACTGTGTTGATCAAACAGCCCAAGTGGGTGGAGAATCTAAGGCAGCTGTTTCTGTTGCCTCTCAGGAACGTGATCCCAGCAAATGAGCAAACCCTTGATAGCAAAGCAAGGCAATACAGCCTCCTCTTCTAAGGCCCTTTGTTACTAGCAGTTGATCTTGGTGGTTTTCATCTCAAGTGGATCCGAATGAATCAACATTTATAAATGTAAATGCTTTAAGTTTGTCAACGCTGTGGGGGCGTGGGATGGGCTGTCTTTCTAAATTTATTGAGCTCTAGTTTAAGTTGTAACCTCCTGTTTACTGGCTGTCTTATTGATAAAATTATTTGTTAGCAGCAAATCTGTACAAGATTCAGCCATTTTTTGCATGTTGGCATCTTTATTCCAGGTAGTAATCATTAGCAGTTAGCTCTCGGCTTACAAGTTCCCCTGGAGTTGCTAGTATCTTGAATTTCTTTCCATTTATTTTAGGAGTAAAAGTCCCTCGCAATTTTCGACTGTTGGAAGAACTGGAAGAAGGCCAGAAAGGAGTAGGAGATGGCACAGTTAGCTGGGGTCTAGAAGATGACGAAGACATGACACTTACAAGATGGACAGGGATGATAATTGGGCCTCCAAGAGTAAGCGTCGAGCTACGGCTATAAATGTCAATGTCTTAAAATTCACTGTGCCTCCTTTTAAAACAATAGTAGCCTTATCACGGAAAAGCTCACCAATGGTATATTTTCTGAAATGTGGCTATTCTTTTTTGACCAGTTTCAGTTTATATATTTGAACCTCCTCTGATGCTGTTTAATCCCTCTAAATGGTAAGCAAAAACCTATTTAGACTCCTAGTGTGAATTTACATGACAATGTAGACAGTGAAGTTTGAGGTAATTGCATTCTCCGATGTAGTTTAGAGCAATCTCTTGGGCTCATCAAGTGACAAGGCTCCAGGCCTAGCCAGCGAGTGGTTCCTGAGGAGTCCCGAAAGCCTTCGCGGGTGGTTGTTTGCCCTCTGCTCCCCAGTCCTGCTATGCAACTGTGTCCTAATTCCTGGGGCCTTTCAGCAAAGGTTTATTTTTGTATTTTTTTAATTTCAGAGTTTCATTCTCTTGCACTAAAGGAACAGCAGGATGGTTATACAATGTTCTCTCTCATTCACTTTTGAAAATCTAAGGTACTTGCAAATACTTAAGAATATTTTTTACCATCGGATTTGTTGTTAATAGATGCTGTTGAGTTGATTCTGATCCATAGCAATCCTCCCACGCACATACGAACACTGCCTGGTTCTGCACCATCCTTTTCAGTGTCGCTGTGTCTAAGCCCATTGCAATTGCTGTGTCAGTGCATTTCATTGAGGGTCTTCCTCTCTTTTCCGACTCTTTCCCTTAGCAAGCATGATGTCCTTCTCCAGGGACTGGTCCCCTGTTACGTACCCAGATAAAGTCCTGCCATTTTTATTTCTAAGGCGCATTCTACCTGCCCTTCTTCCAAAACAGATGTGTTCGTTTGTTTGACAGACAGTGATATGTTCAGTATTCCTTGACAACACTGTAATCCAGTGTTATCAGTTCTATTATCCATCATCTGTCTTTCACATGCATATGAGGTGATAGAAAAATACCATGGCTTGGGACAGACACAGCCTATGACCACCGGATTAGAACAGTAAAATAACCAGTTTCCTAGTGTCAACAAATAAAAGCCCATCTAAAATAGCTTTCCGTGTGTCCTTCACGAGTAATTACTATATATTTTTTTATCATGCTTATTTATGCTTAAGAATTAAACCAAGTGTATTATTCTAATGAGAATATGGGAAATATCATTTGTGTAATATGAAGACAATATTTAGTTGCAGGAGGAAGGGGAATCCCCTTTTCTTTTGTGAAGATGTGGTCACCTACATGATAGATGAGAAAACCCATAAAGTTTCTCGTTGGTCAGATGTACATTTTCAGTTCATCAAAAGCACCTGATAGCTATAGCAGTTTATAATTAGATAATACTTCAAAAGAACGAAAATGAGGCCTATAATTTAGCAGAGAATTATTACCTGTTTGGTCAGCTCTGGTCTGTTAGGCCCAGAGGCCTTTTTAAAGAAGAAGGGGGGGGACGGGGGACCAAACCCAAACCATTGTTATTAAGTCAATTTTGACCTAATTTTTCATCTGGCTTCCAGGCTATAAATCTTTGTCACAGGAAACTGCCTAGCTTTCTCATATAGTACAACGGGTGAACTTGAACCGTTGACCTTTCTGTTTAGCCACTCAATACTGTACCATTGGAGTTCCTTTTCATAACGCTAGCTATCCTTTTTTGGAGGGCATCTAACAGCCCTCAAGGAATGCCACTTCTGTTAGCTACTTCCTTTGTATTGTTACGTTCCACTTTACCAGTAAGGAAACTCAGGCATGGGAAGTGAGTTGCCCAAAGTTGCACAGTTGATAAATGCCAAAGCAAGCTTGTGTGACTCCAGAATGTGTGCTCTTAATCACGTCGCACTTCCTACCTCCTGTCTGTTGGCATTTTTGTTTGTTGCCATTCTTGAATTACCCACAGTGTGAAGTGGTTGATCCTGTGTAGAAGTCAAGAAATGAGTTCTCATTATGTGACACTTGCTTGAGACAAGCAGTCAGAGAATCTGCCCGGACGTCACAGGAGCTTTCCTCTGCTTGATGCTCACATCAGCCTGTTCACTCATTCTCCTCACGACGTGCAGAACGTGCACCCAGCTGAAACATGAAAGCATCATGGGCCTTAATTGTGAAAGCAAGCTCACATTCATATCAGCCATTAACACTCATGCAATGACTGGCTTTGCCATTTGATACTTTTTTCACTTTGTGTGTGTGTGTGTTCTTACAGTTTGATTGTTGTTGTTATAATATGCCCTCAAGTCACCCTGCCCTGTCCTGAGCCAGTCTTACTGATTCTGACACACCTAACCCCATTACCCCGGTTACCATGTCAGTCCATCTTATCCAGGGTCTTCCTTTCTTGCACTGCCCCTCCACCCTCCCAAGCATGATGTCCTACTCCAAGAACTAGTCCTTCTAGGCCATGTGCCCACAATATGTGAGACAGAGCTTCAAAATCCTAGCCTCCAAGGGGAAACTTGGTATCACTCTCTCCAAGACACACCTATTTGTTCTCCTGGCAGCCCATGGTATGTTCAGTACTCTAGCACTACAACTCAAAAGCATCGATTCTTCTTCTGTCACCCTTAGTCATTGTCCAGCTTTCTGATACTGGATCAGGTACACCTTAGTCTGTAGACTGACATTATTGTTCTTTTGCGTTTTAGAGAGTTCCCTGACAGCAGACGTCCGTATTGCAGTTTTCTTTTGATCTCCTAACCATTGGTGGCAAGAGTGTTGATTGTGGATGTGAGCAAGATGAAATTATTAGCAACCTCGATCTCTTCTCCATCCATCATTTTGAATCTTACCGTTTTAGGGGATCATTATTACCCATTTTCACTTTTTCTTGGTTGGATTTTTTTTCTCCCTATGAAAACCAGTATTTTTTGTATCTGCTTAATCCTGCCTAGTCTAGAAATCTTCATGGAAATACAGATTTTTCAAAAATCCATTGATCATGACTTCTGTTGTTTGATTTTATTCTTTTCTCTGTGAGAATGGTTTCAATTCTTTAGGGATGTGAACTGTCTTTCCCACCTTTTTATTCCCCAGAGTGCCTGGGAAAAGTTCAGAACATGGTAGTCTGTCAGTACATCTGCTGAGCAGTTAACTTCTTTTCATATGTAACAAATGGAACTTAATGTGTTACATTCCATCTAAAATAGCTTACACAGAATTTCAAGTCTGGTTTTTCCAGAGAGGACTAACTTAGTAAGTAGTTGTAATATACAGGATATTTTCCAGGTTGTTGTTGTAGTTCTGTACCACCTAGAAAGTTCGAACTCAGCAGTGTCATCTTTACAGTCATTGTCACAGCCACTGTCCAGCTCATTGAGGGTCCACTTCTTCTCTGTTCACCTTCTGTTTTACCAGATATGATGCTTTTCTCCAGGACTAGTCTTTCCTGAGAGCATATCCAAAATATATGTGAGGCAAAATCTCACTCTCCTCCCTTCCTGACTGCGCTTGTTCCAAGACAGGTTGAGTTCTTCTTCTGACAGCCTGTGGGATGTCCAGTCTTCATTCCCAACTCTAATTTAAAGGTATTGGCTCTTTGGGCTTCCTTTTTCATTGCCTAATTTTCATGTGCCTGTGAGGTAATTAAAATCCCATGGCTTCAGGGCCACCTTCTCCAGAAGGGTCCTCTTGAAGGACAGAAGAGCCTGAGTCCCCAGGGGACAAGGAGCCTGGGTTGCCCCCACCCCACTGAGGGGAAGAGCCACTTGCCCCTCACCTCCCAGCCCCCAGGGCTTGTATATAGATTACAGATATATATAAAGGGGAAAGGAGTGGGTGGGGAGGAGTAGTGGGGCTGGAGGCTTCTGCTCCTCCCCATCCCCTGGTCCCCTAACCCTGGCGCTGTTTGTTAAAAAAGAATAATAAAATAATTTTTAAAAATTTAAAAAAATAATAATAATCCCATGGCTTGGATCAAGGACACTTTAGTCCTCAAGGTGACGCTTTGCTTTAGAATACTTTAAAAAGAGGTTTTTTTTGCAGCCCATTTATCCAGTGTAGGGTGTATTTCATTTTCTAACCACTGTTTACATGAGCACTGATTGTGGATCCATGCAAAATGAAAGCTTTGACAATATCAGCCTTTACTCAGTTTATCATGATGTTTCTTACTTAGCTAGTCGTGAGGAGCTTTGTTTTCTTTATGCTGGGGTCTAACTCATAATAAAGGCTACAATCTTCAAGTTTCATCCTTTTGGGCTTCAAGGCTCCTTGTTTTCTGCAGGTAAGGTTCTGAATATTACAGGTTGTTAAAAGAGTCTCCCTCCTATCCTGATACCTCGTTCTTCTTCATATATTCCAGCTTCTTGTCTTGACTGCTTAGCGTACAGATTGAATAACTATGGTGAAAGGATCCAACCCTGAAATAAAACTTTCCTGATTGTAAACCATGCAGTAGACTTTTATGCTGTCAAACAATTGCTTCTTGTTGTATGTCCAAGTTCCACAGGGCACACTGCAGCGCTCTGGGATTTCTGTTCTTCAGGATGTTGTCAGTAATTTATTATGACCCATATAGTCAAATGTATTTGCATAGTTGGTAAAAAAACAGGTAAATATCTTTCTGGTATTTTCCACGTTCAGTCAGGATGCATCTTACGTCAGCAGTGATGTTTTTCATTCTGCTTCCTCCGCTGAATCTAGCTTGAGTAAGTTCCGAGTGTTGGCAGTTTCTTTCTGCTATCTCTAGCATTTTTTCCGTCAACTGCCCGTTCCCCTTCATTGTGTGTTTGATCAATTTCAGATTGCAGAAGTTGGTAAAATTTTCAGTTTCTTCATCTTTGATATGAGTGGTTTTTGTGTAAAATTGGATGATGACGTCTCTTTCATATGGATGTATTGATATTATCCTGTTACTGACAGCATTACTCTTCAGGATACATTACTACATGTTCTTTTTGATGAGGAATAGAATGCCTTTCTTCTTCACTTTGTTATTCCCAGCATAATAGACCATGTGATTATCCAGTTCAGAATGGCCTGGACCAGTCCATTTCTAATCATAAATGCCGAGAATACCAGTCTTCGTGCATCCCATCTCAGTTTTAACAATTTCTAGTTTTCCTAGATTAGCATTTTGTACTTTCCACATTGCGATTCTTAATGAGTTTATCACTGTTCTCATTTTGCATCATGCCATGTTGGCGCGTGAACATTTTGAAAGCTTTGCTGCGTTCAGGTCCTTGGCATTAACTCCACCTGAAGGAGGCACCTCTCTCTCGGTTGTACTTTGAGGCCTTCCAGGCTGAGGGGCTCACCTTCCAATGATGTTAGCAGACAGTGTTCAGCTCTATAATTAATGTTTTCATGGCACAATTTTTTTTTTAAATTTTTTTAAAAAGTAGAAGTCAGTCACTAGACCCTTTTCCCTATTCTCTCTCAATCTGGAAGTGCCACTGAACTCATGGGTGACCCTGCTGGTATTTGAAATATAATCAGTGTTTGTTACTTGAGTTAGAGAGTTTCTTAGAGTTAGAGAGTTGAGTTTCTTAGTATTTGCACTATTGACAGTTCTTGGTTGAAGGGGCAAGAGGGTGGGGCTGTGCAGTGTATTGTAGGATATTCAGCAACATCCCTGCCTCTGTCCACTCATTGGCACTAGCAGTAACACCTGCACCATGGTTTTGTAGCCATGATGTCTGCAGACATTGTCAGCTGCCGCCCCCCCCCCACCCCGGGACAAAGGAGAAGTTGCCCCATTTAAGCACTGTTAATGCCTTGGCTCCCCACAGAGTGGTTTTATATGTGAGTAAAAGCTTCGGTGAGTGTTTATACACATACTTGCCCCAAAGTACTATTTAAAAAACAAAACAAAAACCATAATTATAGAAATGCCCAAAGTAAGAGCAAAGTAATCATTTCCCCAAAGAATGAAAACTGGTAAGTTGATGTGGCATGCTTCCCTTGGCGCTGATGATGTGCACACAAACAGAAGTACATGTGTTTTGTTATTAAAATGAGACCTTCACATACTGTTACATTCCTTTTAAATTCCATTAATAGATGCAGGTGAGCATTTTTCCTTACCTTTCACTAGCTTCAAGGTTGTTGTGAATTCTGTAACTGACACTTGGACACAGGTAGTCCCCGACTTCTGACTTCTAGTCCCTAACTGAGAGTGAACGACACTTAAAACTCTCTGGGTTTTGGGGATTTTTTTTCTTCTTGATGAATCTTTTAGTTAGTAATATGTTTGTATATAATGTTGTGATGTGCATTTGCTGATGTTACTCTTCTCAGATGTTTATGTGTAATATTTCACCCTCAGTGACAAAGATTTGACTGATAAAGATGATGCTAATAAAAGACAATAGTGATGACAACTAAAAGAGATACTCAGCAGATCACAGAACTAACTGGTTAAAGCTGAGTCATCAAAATGAAACCCCCTGTCAGTCGGTGATTGCCAGTGTATTCACACAAAAATTACAAACAGTAGTGTTTATAGATCAAGAAGATCATGTTGTTGTTGTTGTTTTGTGCCGTCGAGTTGCCTGCAACTCATAAGAGACCCTATGTACAACAGCCCTAAACCCTGCTCTGTCCTGTGTCAACCTCACTGTCTCCGACACACCCATCCCGATTACCCCAGTCACTGAATCAACCCTTCTTATCGAGGGTCTTCCTTACTTGTGCTGTCCCTCCACCTTCCCAGGCATGACGACCCTCTCCAAGGACTGGTCCCTCCTTGCAATACGTCCAAAGATCATACAGCCCGTTAACTCCCTCTCACAGCCGGGAGAAAGCAGACTAGGTGCTTGGCAGTGACCTTTAATACTGGAGGTTGGTCAGATAGGCCTGCAGCAGGAACACTGAGGTCACACTGCAACACGTGCTCCCTGTGCGGCTGGCACCCCTGGTGGCGGGAGGCGGTACTGAAGAGGCTTACAGGACCAGCGAGCACGTGGGGAGGAGCAAACTGTCAGGTAGAAGCGAAGGAGTGTGTCCAGGGGCACGGTAGACAAGGGAGTGGACTTTGCTGAGAGTTAAGCTCCCAGGCCACCTCTCTGGGCCCTGCTTTGGGACTCTGTCAACCACATTTTTCCTTTATGTCATGTTTTTAAGCCCCTGAGTTTGTCCCTCTAACAGATGAAATAGCCTTTGTGTACATAAGTGTACACACGTATACACAGGGCTGGAGATACATACCCTTGGAGAAACACCATTGATTTTACATAGTTCTGCGACTTGGTGCCTTTAGGCCTCACCATTTGAAGAGATTACAGACTATCCACTTACAGGAATGTGCCACATTTATTTCTCCAGTCTTTTGCAAGTAGATATTTATAGAGACCTCTCACAGTTTTTGCTGATGTCACGGTCAGTTAAAGCACTGGCTTGTTAACTGAAAGGTGAGCAGTTTGAACCTACCAGGTACTTAACTCACAGGAGCGAGAGGTGGTAGCGGGCTCTGAAGGGGTAGAGCCTTTGGAACCCCACAGGGCGAGTCTGCTCTGTCCTCGAGGATGGCTGTGAGTTGGCATCAGCTGGATGGCACGAGTGAATCTGCTGCAGGGAATCCCGAGAATTGGGCTTGCCAACCTGAGCCAACTGTGGTGCATGTGGTCAGCAGGGCTACCAGATTGCCCGCGCCATACCAGCCTCACCGACAGTGGGAAGTGTGTGTTTCCTGGTCCCATAGCAAATCTCAGGAGGGATGTTCCTCAGAGAGACAGAATGTTCTAGCAACTCTGCCAGGCTCCTTTCCTTTCTTCACGGAAACCTCTGTAGCAGGTCCCTCGAGCACTTGTGAACAGCAGAGAAGAGGAAACCCTGTTCTGGCCCATCACTTGCCTCATTTTTCACTGGGCGCCAGTGGAATTCCTCGAGCTCCTTTTTTAAGAAATCGATCAGAGTGGGGATGTGTTTAAAACTGAGCCTTAGGAGTATTGTAAAGCTCCTAGTGTGTGGAGGCAACGTGTTGTTAATGTGCCTTTGAGGCACTTGCGACTCCCTACTCACCATTTTAACCATTTGACATTACTGCCTTCCTGGATGCAATGCTGTGAAATCTTAGCAACAGCAATAAGCCACCTAACATCCCAGCAGATTAATAAAGGATCTCTCAGAGCCTCTAAAATAAAGATCTCAGAAGACTGGGTGCTTTCGATAATCACCACAGCGCATGTCCCAAAGAAGAGGAATTATGCCTGACTTTTTTTACATGAGAAATTTTATCCCAAAATAATGGAATGTGTCTGCTAGATACACCTGGAGAGGGATGTGGGACCGCACCTGCAGGAGGTGTACACGGTGTGTGTGGAGATGGGTAGAGATTGTGTACTAGGTGCCGAAGACAAATCTGTTGTATTTTCTATAAATCTATACCTGAGTTATATAAATAGTGTCGTTGTTTGTTTCCTCCTTGTTCTGTTTACTGGGTGCATTTTCTTGTTGTTTTCTAAGAAAGTACCTTCATTGCAACCAAGTGTTCATTTTCTAAAAGGATGACGCATAATCAGTACTCATTCATTCAACAAACTTGAGAGTGCTAATTCACTGCCTGCCAGGGTGTTCTGCGAGAAGTCCACTGGCCTTTTCAGAGAGGGTGTATGTCTGTACCTCTCAGAGCTACAGGTTGTGAGGAGCAGCTGGTGGCCAGGCATGTTGGAGGAGCATTAAGGAGTCCAGATGGGCTGAACAGGAAAGGGGCAGAGAAGGAAGGACCAGAAGTCAGGAGGTAAGGGGTTAGGTATTTGCCTTTGGAAAAGGTCAGTGAGATGCTGTGCTGAGAGCAGTCTGTAGGGGGAGCAGGAGAGAAAGAGCAGCTGGTTGAGATGGAGGCCATTGGATGTGTGTGGACTGCCTTCTGGAGGGGAAGCACTGGGACCTTCTCGTGGTTGGAGGTTGGCAGTACGGGCAGAGGAATACAGGTCCACCTCTGGAGTTTGCTTGAAGCAGCTGGATGGATGGCATTGCTGTTACCAGAGGTTGAATGGAAGGAAGCCTGAGTTGAGGTTGGTTTTGTTGGTTTAAGGTCTCTAACGAGGGTAGTAAAGGTTTCCGTGGTTATTTAAAAATCCTAACATATATTCCAGCTTTTTTGGGAGACGGGCCACCGTTTTGTTTTGCTTTTGATGAAATCCTGTGCAATGTCTTCCCATGAATGCCACTAGATGGCACTGTGTATACAGAGCAGTTACTTGTGCTACACTAGACCCAGTGGGAAACCAGTTCACAATTTTCTGTCCTCTCTTTACTCCTCTGAGACCCAGAGTTCACACATGTGCATGAGGGAACTACTAGTTAATGCAAACGTATCATTAACTCATAGAGTTTGTATGATGGGGACAAATGTGCCAGTTCTGCCGTCAGGAATAAATGGGGTTTCAGAAGTTTTACCTGTATGAAGTCTTTGCAGTTGGGAGTTCAGCCTTTGCCTGACATCTCTGTACCTTTTTTTTCTCCAGACAATTTATGAAAACCGGATATACAGCCTTAAAATAGAATGTGGACCTAAATACCCAGAAGCACCCCCCTTTGTAAGATTTGTAACAAAAATTAATATGAATGGAGTTAATAGTTCTAATGGAGTGGTAAGTTGCCTTTTCTGCCCCTCTTGTTCCTTGGGGTTGAAAATTCACTTTGCACTTTTAATGTCAGGGGTACTTTGGGCCTGATTCCACGTTTCTTGGTTATTTGATCAAGTATATCAAACTAAGTACATTAGCAGATTTGGGCTATGGCACTGTTTCCTCATTGTATTTAACCACCATTCAGACAGCACTTAGTCCAGGCAGTACTGCGCTGGGCACCTTTCAGTATGACCACTTCACAGGAAAGATTGTGGGATCTGAGGAGCAGAGCTAAGTAGCATTAACCACCTAACCAGGATCCATTGACATAAGAAGGCAGCGATAAATGTTGCAAAACCGGACAACTTCTTTCTCCCTGTACGGCTGGCCTGGGGCTTTGTGCCTGAGCTCTGCTTGCTCATTCAGAAGGGAGCTCAGCCGGTGGTAGAGGGTGGTCATGCAGCAGCAGCACAGCTGAGCCTCTGTCTTTGAGATATGTAGAAGAGGAAAGAAACTGGGAAGAGCTGAGCCTCATCACAGTGTGACAGGGTGGCTTCCACTGCGATGGGAGCCCAGAGTGTGGCTCAGGCTTGAGGCTGGCTCCGAGAGTGGGGGTTCCAGCTTACCTGGAGGGGGATCAGGACCTGCTTTCCCCCCCCCACTCACGTCCTGCTCATCAGCTGGGCAGGGACTGCAGCCTCAAGGAGCCGGTCATCGTTCTAGAGCCGGACCGAGCTGACTTCAGTCTTAGCATGTCTAGAATTCTAAAGGTGACGTTCCCTTTTCCCAAACAGTGAAGATCTGGGGGACAAATGGGGCAAAACAGGCTGACTGGAGGGTGGACGAGTCCAGGCTTCTGCATGCAGAGGTCAGACGTTAATGGGACAGAGGTCAAGTGTGAAGGGGACAGGTCAGGTGTGAAGGGGCAGAGGCCAGCCTGAGCGGATGTATTGATCTGACTTATTCTGCAGCAGGTGGCCCGGTGCTGTCCGAGAGCTGACTGTTGTCATGTTTGTTTTTCCCGCAGGTGGACCCACGAGCCATCTCCGTGCTAGCAAAGTGGCAGAATTCCTATAGCATCAAAGTAGTTCTGCAGGAGCTTCGGCGCCTAATGATGTCTAAAGAAAATATGAAACTCCCTCAACCGCCGGAAGGACAGTGTTACAGCAATTAATCAGAAAGGAAACCCACAGGCCCTCCCCCTCCCCCGTTCGATGTAAGCAGTCTTCATTTTCCACAGTAGTCAGTTTTCTAGGTATGTCTTGTAGACCTCAGAAGTACTGGAAAGGAAGCTCCCGTTCAAGGGCAATTTCTCTTAAGATCCTGTAAATGATACTAATTTTTTGTTCATTTGAAATACCTGAGTTGTGCTCTAACAAATCATTCTGTCAAGTGTAACCACTGTCCATGTAGTTGAACTCCTGGGATCAAGAAAGTGTATTTAAATCGATTTCCCATCGTAAGTGGTGGGGCACATCTAACTCAACTGTGAAGAGACACGTCACACAATCACCTTGCTGCTGATACATGGCCTGGGGTCTCTGCCTTCTCCCCTTCCCCCTCCCCTGCCTCCAGCCCCTTCTCCCTGCAACAGCCCTCCAGCTCGGGGAGGTTTCTTAGAATAGATGTGAAGGTTTCGGGTCACAGCCTATGGGACTACTGCTGGGTGCATAAGTCTTAAATGGTGCCCCCATTCCAAGCCATCCTTCCCCTCTCCTCCACTCCCACCCCTGGCCGAAGCATAGATTGTAATCCCCTCTGCTCCCCTCTAAAATTGGCCTTTGCTGAGGAATTCAGGGCTTTCCCCACGTCTTCTCTTCCCCCACCGGATCGAGGGGTGCTGCTGCTGCTGCTTTCCTCCTCCCAGAGCCCCTTCCTGCACCGTCACACCCCACACTTCCCGCGACACTTCCTTGCTTTGGCCAGAAGCCATCAGGGAAGGTTGGAAAGAGCCTTTGAGCTCCCTCGTTTTGTTTTCTAACCACACTGATTTCCTCTCCACCAGCCTGGGACACGAACACGGGGCCCTCAGCCCTGCCACCCTCTGCTGTCATCAGCTGATGCGTTGTTTTAGCTCAGGTTTTGATACGGTGGCAAGAACGGTCACCAGGGTTCCTCAGACCTGCCAGCTCTCAAAGTCCTTGGTGGTTAAGCTTGGAGAAAGGCCACATGAAGACACTTGTAAGCACACACGGTCCCTCTGAATGTTTTCTTTTCCTGTAATTGCTTTTGCTTTTAAAAATGGAAGACGTTTTAAACAGACAGGGCTCTCACTCGATCATCCTTGCAATCCATTGGGTCTGGCTTGGAGTCTGACAACTAGAGCAGAGCAGGAACCTGGAAGCCGGCGCGCACGTCGGTTTGGTGCTGCTGCTTACCATCCTCAGCAGGGCGGCAGAAAGAACTCGGTGTGCGCGGCAGGTCCCGAAATTGGCGAGTTTGACCGCCTGGCAAATTGCTGCGTTTTTTCCATCTTTGTGTTCAGGACCACTAAATGCTGAAATGCGGATGCATACCGAAATAAAAGCAATTCATTTGTGTTTTACAAGGGGCTTTTTTTTCCTTCTTTTAATCCAGAATTTCTGTAAAAAGCACCTTTTGAAGCAGCAACTATCAAGTCTGAAAAACAATTGATGTTTCCATTAATTTTTTTTTTCTTTCTGGGGAATACCTTAGTTCCAAGGATTTAGCATCCTGTAAGTAAAGTTTAACATAACAGTATTCCGTGAGCAGGCTTTTTATTGTCAGACCATTGCCTGATTTTAATATAATAAAAAGAAAAAAGTGTGCATTAATATCTAAGAGGCTCTGCTCTCCTTGCTCCTGCGTGTTTGCCCAGGACAGCGTCTGATGTGCTGGGTCCTTCCTCAAGCACTCTTCATCCTCAAGTAGATGTTGGCAGACCTGTTCTGGAAAGAGCCTACATAAGCAAATAGCTGGGCCCAGTGGGCAGCAAGGCCAAGTTCACACTGCCATCTGAGTAGACACGTGGCAAGAGAAATGTGCATAAGTGTTTACCAGAATTCAAAACAATTGAGTACCATTTTTTGGGTAATGTTACAGGTTTTGAACAATGTTGTGTGGTTTGGTTTTTTGCTGTTGTGTGCCATCGAATCGGATCCACCTGGCACAGGAAGAGCTCAGACATAAGTGGGGGCTGCAGTTGGCCTGGGGGCCATGCATGGTTTGCCCTCCCTGTCCTGAAAGATCGTAGTGACAAAGCAGAGCAAATGCCCTGGTGTCAGTGCCCTAGTGGGGCTCTCAGCTGTGTTAGCTGGGCTCAACCTGCCCGAGAGAGGGGCCAGCTTTCTCCAGGTGGGAAGAGGTTAGATTCTAAGATTGGGGCCTGTGGCTGCCATCTGCGGCACTAGAAACCCTTCTGGCTTTTTTATCCAGGATTCTGGTGTCCTGCTCTGGCCCCAGCTGCCCTCCCTCCCCCCGGCAGAGCTTGATGTCCTGGGGCAGGAGCTAGGTGGGGCTCCTCTAATTATTGTCCCCTCAGCCAGCCCTGTTGGAACTGGCTGCAAGGACAGGACCAGGTTTCAAAGGAAATCACACACACACCCCTCCAAAATCCCCACCGGGACCCCTGCTGACCTCCCTGTCCTGGAGCCAACCCCGTGTTCCTGAAGGGGCCAGGCCTGGAGAGCTGTTACCTACCTGCAGTCCCTCTCCCAGCAGAGGACTGGGCCTGTGGTCCTGTAGGAGAACCTCAGCAGATGGCGGACACATTCTAAAGGTGGCCCCTCCGTGCAGATCTCTAAAGAGGTCCTGGCTCTGCAAGGCACACTTGCCTCCCAGGCCTGCGGAACCTGAAGAGTGCCCTCTTGTGGCAACAGCTTGGCCTCAGGTGAAATACGCCCGTAGTAGGTGGTGGCTTCAGAGGTGATCAGAGGATGGAGAAGAAGCGTTTACGTGGGGGTCAGAGCACCATTTTGGCCAAAGAATGGCCCTAAGTTGCCTCTGGGCCCTGGTACCTGCCAGGCTTTCACCCCCGGAAGGGGCTTGCCCTTTTCCACTGTAGAACTTGGAAGTGGGGGTTCCCAGAGGTCCCTGTTGCGGTCTGCATGGTTGAGTGAGGCAGTGGCTGTAGAAAGCACCTGACAGCAAGCCCACCTACTTGGGACCTCATGGGGACCCCTGATCTTGGGGTGCTTTGGTCCAGGATGCTGTTGACTGCACTGCTGCCTCCTCTTGTGATGAGCAGAGAGGTGGATGATGTCAGATAAGTGCAGCAGACGCCCCTCCCAGCCTGCCAGCGGGTCCCTGCTGGCCGCGTCCTTCGCCTGCTTTGTCTTCATCCCTTTGTCCCGGCGTCCCATTTGAGGTCTGTTACCCTCCCGGGTGGAGCTTAAACCTATCACTGGCCTGGTGATTCCTGCCTAGTGACCTACAGGGACAAGAGAACTGCCCCCCCCCAGGTTTCCAAGACTGCCCTTGGTACAACTCAGCACAACTCACAGGCCACACACGTCACCTGTTGGATCAGGACCCATGTGCAGAGCTGTGCTCCCGGGGCTTTCTGCTGATAAGGACCTGTGTGCAGAGAGCTGTGCTTCTGGGACTTCTGCTGATGTGAGTCCCTGTGCAGAGAGCTGTGCTCCTGGGGCTTTCCAAGGCTGTGACCAATCAGAAGCAGGACTCAGTCCCCTGTTCTTAGGCACCCTAGGTAGGTTCAGACCCCCAACCTTTAAGCTGATGCTTACCCATTTGTCACCAGCTACACACGCTGGCCCGAGGCCTACACACGAGACTGTCATCCAGGTAACCTCCACGAGGCGTGTGGTCCTGGGAGCTCAGCCCAGGTCAGTCCTCACTCCAGTAGTAATGGCACCATGAACTAAAGAAAAGGAAATCCAGTAGCATCCTGGTTAAACACTCAGATGTAGCCCAAAGGTCAGCTGTTCAAACCCACCAGTTGCTTTGTGAAAGGCCTGCCATAAAGTCGTGGTGCCTCATATCTCCTCTGCCATCTAAGATCTCCAAGAAGCAGAAAACAACTCGACAGCAATGGATTTGGGATTTACATCTTAACTGATTATAAGAGACACCTCTCCCGTCCCATAATTGCAGCTGTATTAACATGTGAAGGAAGGCTCATCTGTTCCAGAGCCATCGAAGAGCACGACTGTCAGTAAGGCTGAAGAGTATTTAAAAACATTTGTCTCTCAGATAATTTGCTTGTTTTACTTGTCAGTCTGGAGACTAAGGTGTGCCTGATACAGACCATGTTCTTTGCAATCACTAGCTGGACAAGGACTAGAGATGATATAAGGAGAGTTGATGCCTTTGAACTGTGGTGCTGGAGAAGAGTGTTGAACGTACCATGGACTGCTAGAAAATCGAACAGGTTCATCCTGGAGAGGGTGAAACCAGGCTGCTCCTTGGAGGCAAGGATTCTGAAGCTTCGTCTGACATATTTTGGGCATGTTGCAAGGAGAGACCAGTCCTTGGAGAGGGACGTCGTGCTTGGGAGGGTGGAAGGACAGCACAGGAGAGGAAGACCCTTGATGAGATGGATTGATTCAGTGACTGGGGTAATGGGGATAGGTGTGTTGGGGCAATGAGATTGGCAGAGGATAGAGCAGGGTTTAGGGCTATTGTACATAGGCTCGCTATGAGTCACAGATGACTCCACGGCACATAACAACTGGTTTAGAAAAGTGTGAGTTCTCCTGGTTTGAGACGAACTGCAGGCGGGTCAGTCTGGCTGACCCCTGCTGGGAACCCGCATATCTGCCCCAGATGGACAGAATCTTGGTCGACATTTTAGCAGTGTCCTCAGAGTCCAATAAGAGTCTTGGGTGAAAATGCATGTTCTAGGGGTGGGACGAGGTGTCAGACCGGAATGAACTGGTTCAGAGTTGTGTGAGGTCTCCATTTCTGAAGGATAAACAGCTGGCCTGGTGGGGCCTGTGATCCTTTGCCGTCTATCACGTGAGTGCCGACTCAGCGACACCGTGGGTGACAGAACTGTACTCCAGGGGGCTCCTGGTCATTGATTTTTCAGAAGTGGATCACAGGTCTTTCTTCTGACGCACTTCCAGGAGAACGTGACCCACCTGCCCTTCACTCGGCCGAGCACAGTAACTCCCCCCTAGGGCCTCTCCAGCCCTCTACCAGCTGTGGAATGGAGCTGACGCTCTGGCTGGTCAGTCGGCTCTCTGGCGAGCTCATGTGTGTAAGTTGGATTGGAAAGTTGTCCCCTTGTGGTCAGTTGGGGGACAGACACTTCAGTCCCTTCCAGGAGCTCTGCATCTCAGAATGTCCTAAGCACAGTGCAACAATGAAGGAATGAAAACCCAAAATCTCTGTAAATGTTCATTAAAACTAATAAAATTTAATAATAAAAAAGAATGTCCTAAGCGAGTGGGCGAGGGACACACATCCCTTGGCTGCAAAGGGGCTTCCTGACAGCACCTAGAGCTTTTTTAAAAATTTATTGTTATTTTGTGTGTGTGTACTGTCAAATCGGATCTGACTGGTACAGGAGGAGATTGTCCCTCCTTCTCCAGCAGAGCATCTGGTGGGTTCGAACCACCTATCTCTGGGATTGCAGTGCAGCTTCTTGCCACTAGGCCACCAGAGGTCCCTCCCTCTAGAGCTTTGACAGCACCTGTCAACAACAAGTTGATGTGCAGGACTTTGAAGATGCCACCTCAGATCGTGGATGTAGGTGCTCTGAATTGAAACAGTAATACCTGCTTTCACATGATGGCTCACATTGTGGCCCTCCCCCACCTCCCTGGGCCCCTGACTTCACCCCAGCTCATCCATCCCTCCAGCCCGTCTCCACACATAGTGTGTGTATGGGGGGGAAGGCTGCTGACAGCACCCTCGCTCCTGTCACAGTGTCCTCGAACTTGCTGTTCCTCTTTCCAGCAGTGCTCTTCTGTCTCCTCTCACCATAACTCTGTCTCTGTGGTAGGTCACGTGTCTCCCCAGGGAGGCCCTCCCTGACCCCCTCAAGGTGGCCTCCCCTGGCCCACTGTCCACTCAACCCACCTTCTGGTTTAGCTGTTTCTTTTCGTTGTTCCTCAGTACGATGTGGGCCTGTGGCTGGTGGTGCCTCATCTGACATTTGCTGCCTTGTACCAGTACTGAGAAGAAGTTGAATCAACGAGTGGGTCATTCCCCAGGGCTGGGCCTTCCTCTCCTGGCCACGTGGATCTGTCCAGCCACCTGTGGGAATATGGGGAGTACCCCCACACACACCTCAATTGCCTCTGTTCCATGCTGATGAAATGACTGGAGGGGACAAACGGACAAGCTGTGAAATGTGCTCATCCCTGTCGGACCCAGATTCGGGTTGTAGAAAGACTAGTTTGTGAAAGATTTTCCCAGGTGACAACACTTAAAAGCAACTTAAGCTGTGAGTCAGGCCTGAACAATGCCCCCCAGGCCTCTTCCTAGCCACTGACGGGCCATGGCGGCCCCCATGTTCGTTCCCAGGAGAGAACTGCACTCTGGTTTCTCCAGGTCCCCGGATAGCATAAGCCGAGAGGATCCCACAGGTCACACACCTTCAGGAGGAGATGGTGACCGGTCATGGGCTGGCCTTGTCACATTCTCCCAGGGACAGATTCAGAGGCCTCTCTTCTGGGCACCAGGGCATTTGAGGTGACACGCCCAGGGACCTCCCTTTAATTGCTGTCACCACCAGTCCCTCAGTTCAAGATACTGCCTAGTAGATGAGAACTGACATGGCTTGGCCAAGTTTGAGAGGAAAGTGTTCTTTAAAAAGAACAATAGAGGGGGAGCTCTGGTAGCCTAGTGGCAAGAAGCTGTAGTGCAATCCCAGA